GGGGCCGGGCCCACGCATGTCCCTGCAGCCCCTTCCCGATACCTCTGCCCGGAAGTAACGCTCCCACTAAGGACAATTACGCAAACGTGCTGCTACGGGGGCGGCCTGCAGACAGGCCCGGTGGGGGCTTGGTCGGGAGGACACAGCCGCCAGGCCTCCCTGCGTCTCTGTCCTCTCCAGGTTGGTTCCTGTGTTTTGCAAATTCCTGTCGTGACGGTTTCGTTCTCCAGGCCTGGCTTCCACGCTGGGGCCTCGGTTCTCGGCGCAGCTCGCCCATGCTCAGCCCCAGGTTTGGGCGAGACTTCGCCGCCTGCCTGTCCTCTCACCAAAGCTGCTACCTGGGGCCTGAGGGAGGGGCTGCGGCGGCCCCTGCGGGTGGCAGCAGTGCGTCCCCTCGGCCCGTGTCTGTCCAGCTGCCGGCTGTGCAGGCGCTGGGGTGTAAGGCCAGGCACCACCGTCCCCTCCAGCACCGCTGCTCCCCGTCCCCCAACTCGTCACAGCTGCTTCAAAGAATCTGGGGGTCCCCCCGAGCACTTCCTCGGAACTGAAATGAGAAATGGGCCCGTGTGACTGATGAGGGAAAAGGTTTCGACTCTGAAGTTAAAAAGAGAAAAGGCCACCTGCTGAGCTGTCCACCCGCCGGCTCTCAGCCTGTGGGGCGCATCCCTGCTGAGGGTCCTTTCTGGCCTGGCCTCAGCCCCCCTCTCCCCGGCTGGGCCGCAGCTCAGCCCCAGGAGGCCAGCGTGGGGGCCAGGAGCCAGCTGAGCGGGTCCCCTGGGGTGGTGAGAAGGTCCTGGGGTCTGAGGTCAGCAGGGCCCACTGCTCTGGGTGACACGCCTCACCTGTGAGCGCGGGGGTGCCCGCCTCTGCCCGCAGGGCCTGGCCTGGAGCCTCGCCCGCAGCTGAGTGACAGGAGGCCCTGCAGGTGGACACTCGGGAAGGCCCGGCTCACGCTCTGCCCACCTCCAGGCAGTGGCGGTCTGCTCACCACGCAGGACGGAAGTGAAATCTCTTCGCGAGCCAGGGGCGCCCAGTGGCTGCTCGTTATTTTAGAAGAGGGTTGAGGGACGTCTGGCCAGTGGGAGCCGCAAGCGCAGTTCTTCACTCAGTTCGCATTCTCGGGTCCTGCCCCCGTGCCTCCAGGGCAGTGGGAAGCCACTGTCCCCTCTGCCTCACTGTCCCCTCTGCCCCAGCCACGGGCGGGCGCAACAGAGAGAGGAGGATGCCAGGCCTCTGGCTCGTCCTGTCTCTCGGGCCTCCTCTGCAGTTTGCTAGTTTGATTCATCCAGACAGTTACTGGCAGTTCACTCTGCGTCAGAGACAAAAAGGGAAGTCAGGGGGGCGGGGCCGAGGGACCCCGCAGGGGAGACATGGGGCGTCCTGGCTAACATGTGGGTCCACGGATTAGGGCGCTTCGACCTAAGAGTTTTCTCACAGAGCTGCGTCCCGAGGAGCGCGCCCTCCCCTGCCCGGGCGAGCTGGAACGGGTCTGACGGAAGTGGATTTTCCCTCGTGGCCTGAAGGGTGTGAAACAGCCCGTGGCCCCCTAAGCTCTCAGCCTCTACTGGTCGGGTTACCTGGTCCAGATTTTTTTTAATCAGTAAAAATGAGTTTTAAAATCTAACATGTTAAGCTTGGCCCTCCCTTGTCGCGGTCCCCCTGAATTGACTG